ATTTTAAGCTGAGGGCCCCAAGTTTATCAGTAACTTAAGTTACTGTCACGGGTCACCCTCATTAAATAAAGTCTTTCACTTCACTTCACTTCACTTCACCAATAGAAAGATTTGACAGCCAAAATTATCAAGTGACAGCAAGGATTTATGTCACTTTATTTAATATGTAATGTTATGGCCTACTCATTTTAGGTTAACTGGGATTCCTCAGCCACTTGGATAGCTCAGGTATACATTGAAATTTTGCTTACATATAATATCCATACATTTTCAAGTAGAAAGTAACAAGTAAGACAATCATCAGCACTGCAAATTGACTTGATGTGCAATTAAAGGCAAGGGCGTGGTCTAAGAAAAATTTCAAGGAGCCCAAAGGTCCCTATGACTGTGAATTCCTGGGTGCCCAGCACTTATTAATACGCCTATATGAAAAAAGCAAGTTTTTTCAGTCACTCAAAGTCAAAAGGTAGTCACCTGTGGAACCCAGGCACTTCTAGAGCACAGCCCTGAAAGGGGTCGCAAATGATACCTAAAACATTTTTGTGGTCATAGAATAGGAAACTGCTGACTGATCTGAATTCTCAGAAGCCTTTGTGATGAGTCAAAAGTCTTGGGTTTTTTTTCCATGTAAAATCATTGTTATCTCAGTCTTGGATATTTTTCAAAAGGGGATTTTGCGTCTTGGTGAGACTTTCAGCAGCTGTTATACCTATTATTATCATACTAATAACATTAAAAGAAATGTATGACAGTCACTAATCTAAGGCAAATGCCCTTTTAGATTTTGGCACTAAAATATGATCATTAGAATGTTCTTTCTATACCATATTATAAGTATTTTTGTGCCTAATCCTTTCCCTTTTTTCAGGTCAAAAGGTCTGGTAGATTCCTCTTGAAACCTAATGAAATTTGCAGGAACATCTGCCACAAAATTTCAGTAAAGTTGGATCAAGGAGAAATTTGTAAGTTTTAAGAATTAGGATATTATTTAAAACACTTAGGAGTTGTTAGTAAGTCTAATGTGTTGTTCCAGAAAATATCCATACCCTCCCCATCCAGGGACAGTTTTTAGTTTTGAACCCTAATACTTTTCTTAAAATTTTTGGCTTTTGAAACCCCATGCCCACCCCCTCAGAATTTCCATTGACTTTTCACATGGTAGATACTAGGGAGGGGGGTACTTCCATAAATTTTCAGATAGGTGTGTGCGGTGAAAAGTCTTAAACCCTGACCCTATATTTTAAGGATGAAGCAAATGAAAATTGATTACCCTATTTAAGGATCAAAAGCTCTACCCTATCTTGCAGCACATACCTATATAGTGCATTATTGGGAGTATGCCCCCCACCCCCACCCCCACCCCCACCCCACCCCCAAAGAGGAGACTTGACTTGTGACACAAATTGCTATCAATGTAAGGTAAGGAAGGTAAAATCTTTATTTAGACATGGTATTTCCCTCAGGACTTAACAATATTGAATTTAAATTAGTCTAACTACCTAACTAATGTATCACTAATAACTACTACTCCAATGTAACCTGTTAATTTGGTAGCATGACTCCCTGGTAGAAAGATGACCCCGATTCTTGTCATATGCTATTCCCTGTGGTAAGACCTGCTTTTCTGCACATTAAGTGAATCACAAAAATGCTATTTTTTTGCAGTGACAGTGCCCAACAACATGTGGAGTGTCTCCTACAAACCAGTTGGAAGCGATGAAGTTGTTACCTTTGGCTCTGGTGTAAACTGGGATTGAAGTTTAACATGTGATGATTTCTGACAAGTATTTTTCTGTTAAATAAAGCCATACAGCTCTGAACCGTCTTTTGTCTCGTTATTCTGGTCACAAACAAAAATAATCATGTATGTTTATCAACCCTGATGCAAATGAACAAGCCTGGTTGTAAAACACTTCCATGCAACTGTTGAACTGTCATTATTTTTGTGAGAACAATCACTCACTGCCTCTTAAAAAGAGTCTGAAGAGGGTGGGAGTATTCAGTTAGGTCCTCTGTAACGTGAATGGCAATTTTGGACCATTTTGATCAGAATTCCTGTTGTTAAAATGTTCAGGTCCATAGATATGATGCTGTAATTGAACGGTTTTAAATTAGAGATCAAAGAGTTGGATAAGTTTGGTATGGAAAACCAAGGTTGAATTAGAAAGAATCTAGCCAATGAAATCATGTGTCCCCACAGACGGTGTCCAGAGCGTGCCTTTCCTCGCGCCAAGCCTCCGCCGGTTAAGAGATACTGGTAGTTTGTGGGACGAGAATGGTAACAAGCCCGAAGTGTCTTGAATCCCTTGAGACTGTTCGGGCATTTGTTATATTCCAACATGGCGGCTGCATTTGATCCTTTCAGTTAGCCGGCAAGTAATGGGTAGACACAGCTCAGATTCGGACGACGATAGGCGAAAGAAACACAGATCTTCCAGGAAGCGTGAAAGAAGAAGTCGAAGTCGAGAACGGCGAAAGCGGTCAAGATCCCGCGATCGAAAACGAAGCAGATCAAGAAGCAGTAGTTATGAAGATTACAGACGCAGCAGGTTTGTATAAAAACCCAGGCTACAATCTCCAGCTTATTTCTTCCCCCTGTTATCTATGGTTTAAACCAAGTAGCTAAATCTTATCGTTAGTTTTTCTTTCCTTTTTCTTCCATGGGTCACACCACAGATCAAGTCGAAAAGGTAAGGTGACATTGAACCAACTTTTTTCTTAGCTAGGTTAATCAAGAGAAAATTCTAGAATGAAGGGTGCTGTTCTACCCAGGGCATGTATTTAAGGCTTTCTTTATTCTGAGTAGGGCCAGGAATCGAACCCCCAGCACACTGCACATCCAACTGGCAAAACGTGGGTCATGCACCCTCACCCCCACCCCC